ATTTTCATCTCTTGCAAAATGATCAATAAGAGATCTACAGCTGACATATATCTTGTTCGTCTGATTTTGCAATTTGTTTGGTGTTTTCAACTCAGCCTGGAGTGACTGTGAAACACACTAAAGAAGGAACAGAGAGCTCATCTTTCTGGTTTGCTGTGGGAGGAAAACAAAGTTACACCAGCAAAAAAGTAGCCCCAGAGGTCACCAGAGACCCCCACTTGTTTGTGTATTCCATTAATAAAGGTGTATCCCTGATCTCTTAATTTCATTAGCTACTTTCTTTGCGAATAAGGTGTTTTAACTTTGTTAGATTATGTCCCCACCCTCGTCCCTCTTTTTTTTGGGTGGGTGAGTGGGTGGGGGGAATAAATAAGAAGTGATATGTGCTAACTATTTTTCTACAATTTTCATGCGAACTTGTGGATATCCAGGAAAATTTGAGGTAAGGTCCTAGAGTACATAATTTGAGCTTTTTAATACATGAACTTCTTGTATATCTGGTTAATCTTTGCTTTACTCATTTGATAGATTGAAGAAATCTACAACTTCTCTCAAGATGATTTATTGACCGAGGATGTTTTATTACTTGATACACATGCTGAAGTGTTTGTTTGGGTTGGTCAGTCGTCAGATCCCAAAGAAAAGCAAAGTTCTTTTGAAATTGGACAGGTAATAGACGGTATCATAGAGATCGTTGCCTATATATAAGTGTGTTTCTGTTCTTAATTATGTTTCACTAACCATTGAAGTCCCACAGAAATACATAGAGATGGCTGTATGTTTGGAAGGGCTGTCTCCTAATGTTCCATTGTATAAAGTCACGGAAGGAAATGAGCCTTGCTTCTTTACAACATTTTTCTCCTGGGATCCTGCAAAAGCTATTGTACGTGACAACTTTCTTTCGCTTATCGAGTTCTGATACTCATTTCTATGTAGTTTGATATGAAATTCACGGAGAGTGTACTTTCACATTGATCTTCTTTAAAGCTTTTTAATAAACTTTTGGAGGGTGGATGGAACTTGAAAAATGGTACAAGCAAGTACGTAGCATAAACTAGAGAAAGTCGAAGTTGGAAGATGTTAGCATAAACCACCAGAGACATTGCCAAACATGTAATAAACAAAACATTGTTATTGAGAAAAGAGAAAGTGTTGAGCTTATAACTGCAGACTTGGTATATGTAGTAAATTGCTACTGGTATACAGGGACTAGAAAGAGATGTAATCATTTACATACAAAAGGAATTTGTTGTAGAAACATAGGAAGAAATTTGCTGTAGCAGTATAGTTAAAGGGAAAATCCAATTTGTGTGGATACCTGACAAAATAAGAACCATTTTTCCAAATTTAGCATAGATGTAATCATAGGTAGAGGTAAGGTCTGCATACATCTTACCTTCCCTTCCCTAGACTCTACTTGTGAGATTAGGCTGGGTATATTGTTGTTGATGTTAACGTGTTTGTCTTTGAGTCCTCATTACTGAGAAAACTTCGGAAGTGATTGCGGGCGTCCATTTTAAACAGGCACACGGAAACTCATTCCAGAAGAAGGTTATGCTACTCTTTGGAGTTGGTCATGCTTCAGAGGTAACTAGAAGCAAGATGTATCTCTGCATAAATTGTTTGTACATCTGTGCAAATTTTTACCATTATATTTGCTTCAAATCATCTGAGTCCACTAGTCAACATTCTCTAAATAACACTAGTATTTTTTGGGGGACCAACATATTGTCATTTTATTATGCTTCTTCCAACTTAAGCTGTCCATACTAGAACCATATTCAAGGAAGTTAGTCACTTTTTTAACTTGTATTCCTAGTTCACTGCCCAAGCTTCATATTCTGTCTCTTGTTCTATTTAAGATAATGTTAGAACTGTACTATCAGGGTTATAAGTTGTGAAAAAATTGATTCTTTTATGACTTAAGACCAACCTAATTTGTGAAATGTAATATATTATTTATCCAAAGTCTACCATGCATGTAATATATCTTTTCCTCTATCTTTCAGAAACAGCCAAGGTCCAATGGTACAAATCATGGTGGGTCAACCCAAAGAGCTTCTGCTTTGGCTGCTTTAAACTCTGCATTTAATTCACCATCTCCAGCAAAATCTGGTTCTTCACCAAGGTCAGGGAGAAGTCCTGGTTCACAAAGAGCAGCTGCAATAGCTGCTTTATCTTCTGTTCTCAGTGCTGAAAAGAAGCAGTCACCCGAGAGCAGCTCTCCACTCCGATTAAGTAGAACTTCATCAGTAGATCCTATTCCCCTTGGTATAAAAATATTTTTTTCTCTTCCATTGTACTGTTATTTCCAGATCCTTCTCTTCCTATAGATTGTGTGTTGTGAATCCTCCTCTAGTGCTTTGTCAAGACATGTCCTGTTAACTTTTAAGTGCTTCCTTCTCTATATTTTTGTATTTCAGACAAGACGTTTCTAAGCTTTAGAGTCATTGGTATTCACTAGGTATGTGTGCAGTGTGTACACATGCATGTGTATACGTATTCATAGTTATCTTTATTTGTTGATCACAAGTATTACCATAAGAGCAGTTACAGATTATTGATGGAGAGCATTGCTAGCCTAGAATCCTTCGACATTTCAACTTCTAAGCTGACCAGTTTTACTTAATTTGTCTTTAATTGGGTAAGTATGATATACATGGAGGATTTTTTTTCCTTTGATTTAATTTTTTTGCACAAACAGGGAATGGAGTTTCTACTACTGAGGTTTTAGGTTCTAAAGAAGTTCCAGAATTCAAGGAGACCGAGACAGTTGAGCATGCAGAGGCTGATGGGGAAGACATAGGACCGAAGCCAGAACCAGAACAGGAGGAAACTGACAGTGATGGTAGTCAGATTACATATAGCTACGAACGGCTGAAGGCTAAATCTAAAAATCCTGTCACCCGGATTGATTTCAAAAGGAGAGAGGTTCGTACTTGAGTGTTGTTTAAATCCTAAATTTTGAATTTCTGATGAAAGTGAGTTCCTTTTTCTTATTTTTATTGATGGACTCTCAGGCTTATCTCTCTGACGAGGAATTCCAGTCCATACTGAAAATGACAAAAGAATCTTTCTATAAGTTGCCTAAATGGAAGCAAGATATCCACAAGAAGAAAGTCGATCTCTTCTAAAATCTGAATCGAAACAAAGGTGGTGTCCCCTGTGTTCTCAATATTGCAGTTCATTGTTTCACACAGTTTCTTGATAAAGCTACCTACTTTTACGGGTACATATTGCCATGATTGGTGTTTTGCATTTTGCTGTCTGCTTCTATGGACCCAAGGTTTTTGTGATCTTGGTTTTTTTCCCTTCAATTTGTGATGCCTGCTTGAAGAGTGATAATTTTTTTAGGTCTCTCTTATACTGCTGCTTTATCAGTACAATGTCAAGTCTGTAGTTGAGAATCAGCAGTCAGGTCAATTCTTTGATTCCTCCTTATGTATCTCAGTTCTGATGTATCATTTATTTGTTAATTGAAGGGGTGTGTACAGACTTTATATTATATTATAACTGATGCAGTAGCCATTTGCTACTGTGTTTGTTGAAGTTTCATTATTCACTCAAGAAGCAGAGATGCTTACTATTTTTTCCAATATTATTGCTTGCAAAGTGTAGCAAGTAAAGTTATTTTGACCTGAAATATGGGTCTTTTCTATAACTGTGTATATTCATTGATGTTTAGGGGTTTGTTGAGCTACTTATTAGTGTTAAACTAGCTAGTTAACTTCTGATATGCTCACTCAACTAATAGTTATTATCTCAAAAATTCACTTTCTTTTGTTGAAAAAAGTCAAGAAAGGTGATTTTCTGAGACAACTATTAGTTGAGTGATCGTTTGAAAAATTGACCATCAAACTGCAATATTTTGTTAGTTGAAATGAAATCATCAAGAATATGATATTCAGTTCTTCTGTACAATACAAAGCAATGTCATTCAATTTTCCAATATTTGGTTAATCTGAATGCTAAAAAAAAACATTTTAAAAAGATATCTCCCACCAGAAAAGAGAAAAAAAGAGAGGAAGAAATCATTGCTAAAGCTGGCACATCACTCGACTCACTTCGGTTCTAAAGATTTTCTTCTTAGGAGTTTGTCTCAGCAATAGAAAACGAAAGTTTAGCTCGTTATAGAACTTGACCAAACATTTCATAACACGAGATATCAACAGTTCACTTAATATGAACCCAAGAGATTATCCATCTAACGCTTACAAATACTCAAAAATATCAAAGTTGAGAACACCAATACAGAGATGTGAATTGCTTGGCCAATCAATGAGAAGATGGAGCACGTATTAGCTTAATTATTACTCAAGTCACTTTCACTTTTATTTAATAGTATAGTTTCAATGTATTCATGTTGCATAATCATCTCGTGTTCAGATTTTGCTGCTCTGATTAATACAAATTCACATCACTTAATTCTTAAAGAAGAAATGCTTTTGTAAAAATATATCCACACTCAATATTTATATCAAGATTAAGAATATAAGACGTTTATCTTTTTATACATATATTTATTACCTAACCATGGGTTTAGTGATGTATACTTTCACCGTAATATTAATTGCTAAGGTTAAATTATTTGATTTGATATAAATAAATACGAGTTTTTTCATTCACAATGCTTGCTCTAAGATTTCTAGGTGAAGATATCTTGTACCGACATTCGGAATGTATGTGAACCAAAAACACAAAAGAGTGAGAGGTCCATTTACTTGGTGAAGGGGGGCTTGAACAAATAGCAAATTGGATGAGATTACATTCCCCTTTTATTTCAAAATTGAAACTTTGCCCCACCAATTATGGGCTAAATAACAAACTTGTCCCCAAAATAGCCAATGTAGGCCCCATTAAGTCCTCCATACCCAATGGGCTGTGGTCCGACCCAAATTGACCAAAAAAAGAAAACACACAGTGGCTCACCTTCAATTTACGCACACTCAAAAAATAAAAATTTGGACTTCGTTCTTAAAAATCCCATTAACAAAGGTCCAGTTAGGTTTTATCGGGTTCAAGCCCAATTCTCTCTTTCTCTCTCTTCTACCGAAACCCTAGATCTGGTTCGCCGGCGGAGGCCCAAAAACGCCGTTGACCCAGATTCCGATTTACTCAAACCGGAGCTTTTCACGATCTGGGTTTTGCTCAATTTCGAGGTTTTGGTATTTGGGTAGGTATAGTACCATTTTTTGTATCTCCTCCGTTTTTTTCGATTTAAATTTATATTTGGATTTATTTAATTTTTTGTGTGTGATTAGTGTAAAGATTGTTCTTTTGTATCTCTAAAATGAATGATTTCCCTCTTTTGTTAGGATTTTGTGTATATTTTCTCTGTTCATTTGCATATCTGATGAACTTCCTTGTTGTTTGTTCAAAAGTTAGTTTTTTAGTGTTTAATTGAAATTTCTGTGTATTTATAAGAAATGTTTTAGGATTATTTTTTTTGGTAACTTCTTGTTGTGGGCTTGAAGGTGAATTGAATCATGAATATGTTTTTTTGATTTTCTGGGTGTGTTTGTTTTATAGATCTATTGTTAATAAGGGTGTTTGATCTGGGCTTTTTTAGATTTATTTTATGTGTGAGCCCATGTTTGATCCATTTTACCTAAGTAGATGTTCGTTTGACTTGTTTGTTCTTAGCCCATGCTTTGTGAAATGTCCATTTGACCCTCACTTCTTTTTGTAATAAAATGCTGACCATTGAGTTTCCTTAGTATCGAAATTCGGGCTGAGTTGGGCCAGGCCTTGATTGAATTCGGGCCGAGTTGGAACAGTCCTTGTAGCTATGAGTGAACTATTTTTCATGCATTTGGTTTGCTAAAGCTTGGGGTTTCTGATGCTATCCTGTTGCCTGTGACCACTAGAACCTCCTCATGCACTTAGGGGTCGTTTGGTTTAGCGCCATGTTATGCAGAGGTTAGTAATGCAAGAAAGACTGCTGTCCCCTCTGCTCTTCCGGGAAAAGTCGCATCCTTTTTTCGGGGACTTTTCCGCAACTCCTTATCACTATTTCGCTTTCTATAAAGCATAGTGTCAGTCTCCCTTACTTTATAGGGTAGGAGAAGGTATCTGGGATTTTGGCTTTTAGTGTCAGGGGATCACTTCCTCTTCCGGGCCGTAGTGTAAGGATTAGTAATGCAAGATCGTTTTTTATGTTGGATGTTTTGATTTTGATGTATTCAAATTACTCCTCTGTCCAATTTATGTTAGTTTCTTTTTAGTTTCTCTCAAAAAGAATGACATATTACTGTGGTGATTTATAGCAAAAGAAGTTTTTTCTGCTCATTTTAGACCACGAGTTTCAAAAGCTTCTTTCTTTTTTAAACCCCCCTCACTTAAATTGGATGGAGGGAATAATATACAATTTTTTTTATTTTTTTTTGAATTTGAAATAATATACAATGTATAATCAAAGTATGTTTACTTTTTAAAGAAAAGATAAAGTTTGTTTGTGATGAGAGACACATAAAATAATACACAGATTCCTCATAATATATGTGCATTATTTATGAGGAAAGGAAGCAGTAACTGAACATTGTACTAATAATGATTAATTTTTACCAATCATTTATAATAATAATGCTGGATTTTATGTGAAGATTAGATCTCCTCATCAGTCCAACCAAATGATCCCTTAATGCATTATGTTAATTCATTCAGTCTTCTTTATTTTTTTGTTATTCATCATCAAAAAGCAGGTATTTTTTACATTTATTTTACTATTTTTGATCTTCATGAGGGGTTTCTAGAATTTTGACTGTAAAATTTGATTACGTTTTCTAGTACTTTGTAGTATATGCTATCGGTTTGTTCTGACTGCGTCTTCTTTCTTTTGCTTTACTTCCATGTCTTCTTATATGACCCATAGATAGTTCCTTGTTGATATTCAGTAATCAACCATTCTGCTAACAGCTGACAAAAGAATTGAGTTTTCTTGAAAATTATAACAAATAATAATACCTAAATCTGAGTTTTCTTTTAGATATACATTGTTATTTGTTGTTTTTATTGTACTTTGACTATCATATTATTTTGTTGTAGTTGCTGTCCTATTTCAATCTATTGTTTTGTTATTGTATGCTATTTCTTCGTACTTTTATTACTTCTTTTTCTGACTGCTTTGGACTTCTATTCCCTTGAGCCGAGGGTCTATCAGAAATAGCCTCTCTGCTTGTGAGGTAGGGGTAAGGTCTGTGTACACTCTACCTTCCCTGGTCCCCACTTTGTGAGATTATACTGGGTATGTTGTCGTTGTATATACAATGTTACTTTGAAGCTTATTATTTATTTTTTGCGTCTCATCTTCTTTGAACACATTAGTCATTACTAATATTTTCTTTTTCTTGTTCTTCTTTTGATCATTATATTATACAGATATTTGAGAGTGTATTGCTGCTCTTAGGATGGCAACCCCAGAAACACCTGTTACTCCGGCAACTCCCACCGAAAACCATGAGATGGTCCATGAACATGAGATGATACCTGATCATGAGATGGGCCATGAACATGATATGAGCCATGAACTTGATATGGGCCATGAACATGAGATGGGCCATGAACATGAGATGATGAATGAACATGAGATGATGCAGGAACATGAGATGGTTGAACACGAGATAGTGCTTGGCAATGAGATGGTCCCGGGCAATGGAATGGTTCAGGACTATGAGATGATTCCAGGAAATGAGATGGTTCTTGCAGAGCCACAACCCAACAATGTTGAAACACCAGAAACTCAACCTGGTAAGCATAGGAAAAAGAAATCGATAGTTTGGGAGCACTTCACCATTGAAAATGTTGCTGTTGGGACTAGAAGGGCACAATGTAAGAAGTGCAAGCAATCGTTTGCATATAGTACAGGGTCAAAAGTAGCAGGAACTAGTCATCTGAAGCGCCATATTGCCAAAGGATCATGTCCAGTAGTCCTGCGTAATCAGCAGAATGATCAATTGACCCCATATAGTGCTCCTCCTAAGATGACTGGATATGGGGGTAGTAATGGTGCACCTAAAAGACGTTATCGAACTGCTTCTACTCCTTACGTTGCTTTTGATCCAGACCGGTGCCGCCAGGAAATCTCTAAGATGATTATCATGCATGACTATCCCCTTCACATGGTTGAGCATCCAGGCTTTCTTACTTTTGTTCAGAATCTTCAGCCTCGTTTTGATATGGTGAGTTTCAACACTGTGCAAGGAGATTGTGTGGCTACTTACCTTAGAGAAAAGCAAGCCATCCAGAAGGTGATTGAGGGAGTGCCTGGGTGGATCTGCTTAACACTAGATATGTGGTCCTCCCACCACACTGTGGGCTATGTATTCATAACTGGGCAGTATGTTGACAGTGAGTGGAAAATTCATAGGAAAATACTCAATGTCATCATGGAACCATATCCAGATTCTGAGATGGCTTTCAGCCATGCTGTTGCGGCTTGCCTTTCTGACTGGAGTATGGAGGGGAAGTTATTTTCTGTCACTATTAATCAACCACTGGGTGATGCTGCTATTGATAATCTTAGAGCTTTACTCTCTGTGAAGAACCCACTTGTGCTTAACGGTCAATTATTGGTTGGAAATTGTCTTGCTCGAACTTTAAGCAGCATTGCCCAAGATGCGTTTAAAGCTGTGCAAGGAACTGTCAAAAAAGTTAGAGATAGTGTCAAGTATGTGAAAACATCGGAATCTCATGAGGAAAAGTTTATTGAGCTCAAACAGCAGCTTCAGGTGCCTAGCACAAAGATGCTGACCCTTGATGACCGAACTCAATGGAACACAACATATGAGATGTTGTTGGCTGCAACGGAGTTGAAGGAAGTATTTTCATGCTTGGATGCATTAGATCCTGATTTCAAAGATGCCCCATCATTGGAAGACTGGAAGCAAGTTGAGACTCTGTGCACTTACTTGAAAATCTTCTTTGACACTGCCAATCTCCTGACTGCACCAACAATTCCAACAACCAACACATTCTTCCATGAAGCGTGGAAGATTCAATTGGAATTGGCTCGTGCTGCAGCAAGTGAAGACCCATTCACCAGCAGACTTACCAAAATGATGCAAGAGATGTTCGATAATTATTGGAAGAGCTGTTGCATAATGTTGGCTATTGCCGTAGTAATGGATCCACGCTTCAAAATGAAACTTGTTGAGTTCAGTTTTTCCAAAATATATGGGGAAGAAGCAGCCGCCTTCGTGAAGACTGTTGAGGAGGGAATCCATGAGCTCTTCAATGAATATGTGTCTCTTCCTCTACCTCTAACACCAACTTATGTTGAAGAAGTAAATGGCAGTGCTATGAGGCAGGAGGATGGCCAAGGCTTCGATGCCTCTTGTAATGGGCTTGGACTTACTGATTTTGACGTCTACATTATGGAGACTTCGAGCCAGCAGTCAAGGTCAGAACTTGATCAATATCTGGAAGAGTCCTTGCTGCCTCGTGTTCACGAGTTTGATGTGGTGGGTTGGTGGAAGCTTAACAGAATGAAGTACCCAACTTTGTCAAAAATGGCTCGTGATATCTTGTCAGTTCCTGTTTCAACAGTAACTGCTGATTCTATATTTAGCACGGTTAGCAAAGAGATGGATCATTACAGATGTTCCTTGCGACCTGAGACCGTGGAGGCCCTCATCTGTGCCAAGGACTGGCTTCAGAATGCATCTATAGACACTTCACCTGTACCAATAAAAATGGAAGTTCCGATTTAGGTCTCGGTTATGTGAAATACTCGTCTAGAATAGCTCTATTAGCCTGATTATTGATGTTTTCTTTAAGACTATTAACATTTGTCTTCTTCGTGTCGTCTGAGAATCAACTTTCTTGTATCATAATTTGGTACCTCTAGTCTTACTGGAGAGTTTAGTCCCCATTTTCAATCTCTTTATTTACTCATTGATGTTTGAATGCATGAAAACAGCTTACTGGTGCATGATATGAATCTGTTGGTATAGTTATGCTGCTCAAATGACTTGTGTTTTGCTTTCATTCTTCTGTTTGTATCTTCTTTTCTGGTCTCCCCTGCAATCGTACGATTGGAGTTTGGAGAGGGTAGGATGTATTAAGATATGATTGTAGTTTGGAGAGGGTAGGATGTATTAAGATCTTAACAATATCTTTGTATGGTAGAGAAGTTGCTTCTTATAGACTCTCGGTTCAAATCCATTTATCTTAAGGCCTAAATGATTTAAACTGTGTAATTATACTTAAAATTCTCAATTTTTGGCACCAGAAAATGAAGGATAACCTTTTAAATTTATCAGAAAAATTATGCTTTTCGACTACAATAAGTAGTAAACAATACTTAATGTTGGACAAACTTGTTGCCACACATTTTCTCACATAGAAAACTATATATTACACTTTCAATAGAAAATATCAACGTCAACAACAAGATTTCAATATAACAAAGCAATCTGAGTGAAAAAAAAGGAACATACACAAAAAAAAAAAATGTCGTTTATAAAAAATATTAAATTTAATACAACAACATAATAAGCTATCGATAATTACAAATTATATAACTAACTCAGCCAAAATCTTCATTTTTACAATATCAATAAACACTCAATTGCTTCAAATTCAACTATATCATGTCAATTTGGTCGTTTGGATAATATTTTTTCTTCAAAGGACCAAAATCGTGATTATTTTTTTTTTGGGAAAAATAAAATAAAAATTATAGTTCGTTGAGTGGTTATCCTCACCCCATAAAATTACGAATAAATCTCACACACACCGCACAAATCCCAAATACAAAACACACAAATTGTGTGCAAGTGTGTGAGAGAGAAAGGAAGAATAGTTAGTTAGAGCAAATAGAGATATCTGTATGCTCCGAAACCAATGGCTAATACTACTCCCAATATTACAAACTCCGTTGGTATCGGAATCCCAATCCGGACCAAAACCCGACCCGCATCCACTTCCATGGCGGCTACTCCGGCGACTTTATCGACCGGTCACTGCATTCCGACCGGTTTGCTTGTTATCAACTCCGGTTCGAGTCGACTGGGAGGGACTGCTCGAGTTGACTCGGTTAATGGTCACTTAACTCGCAGCCGTGCGTCCTCTTTTTCGATTCGAGCTGCGGCGGAAGGGGAGCCGGTCGGAACTAGTTCTTCAGGTAGACTTCCAGTGTGCATTTCTGAATGAATTGTGTATTTTTAAAGCATTTTTGTTTTTGTCAATTGAAGTGAATTAGGATTGGTAGTTAGTTGATTGAATTGAAGTCGAGCATATGTATTATCGAAATTCAGAATTGCATTTGAAATATAAAATGATGCTGGTTAATTTTGCAGCTGAAAATAGCTCTTTTGTCAGCAGTTTAATTGCAATTGGTAGTATAATTTTGAGAATACTGGTGTTTTTGTTTGTTCCAGCTCAGCGTATTGAGAACTTGGTAATAATAGGATCAGGTCCTGCTGGATATACAGCAGCAATTTATGCGGCTCGGGCTAATTTGAAGCCTGTAGTGTTTGAGGGGTTTCAAGCAGGTGGTGTGCCAGGAGGACAGTTGATGACAACAACTGAAGTAGAAAACTTTCCTGGATTCCCAGAGGGGATAACTGGACCTGACTTAATGGATAGGTACAAGAAAAGTGTTTGGGCATTTACTCTTGTGCAGATATCTATTAGAAGTTTCCTTGGTTTTAGACAAAAGGTTTGTTGAAGGCTGATAAATTATGTAATTTGCTAGGATGAAGCGGCAAGCTGAGAGATGGGGAGCTGAATTGTATCAGGAAGATGTGGAATTTATTGATGTAAAGAACGCTCCTTTCACTGTCCACAGTAGTGAACGTAAGGTGATGCATCCTTTAGTTGCTGATTACTCTGTCTAGGTTCTGTTATAACTGCTTAAATCTTTAATCCCCATCAAACTGTTTGCCTATTCTGAATTGGAGCTTTGATCTTTTAAAATTCCACTCAAGAATGACTTCTAATATCTGATGTTTTAACAAATTTGATGGGGGAAAGAATATAAGGATGGCCATCATTTATCAAGACCCCAGCAATCTTTTTTCTTCTTCTTGAGTGTCACTAAGGTTGGTACATCTTCTGAACTAATTAACAGTTCATATGTTTTTGTCAAGTTTGCAATATGTTCTCCAACAAGTGCCCAGAAAATTACAGGAAGTTAGATATAAACGTATGTATTCTCATTTGGAGGGAGAACTGAAAAGCTAAACAGATTTCAGACGGGTAATGGAAGAAGAGAAATAGATACAACTTTTTTCCTTTTCTTGGACAAAAAATGTATTATGCTATTACTTAGAAGGCATCTAAGCTCATGCTTTCTGGGTTTTCTTATTCTTCTAGACAGAAACATTTTCCTTCCAATAAAAAAAATTCTTCTCAAAAAAGTACAGAGACATTTTAACTACACCGGGACTTCTTTATGGGTTTACGTGTTTTCCATTCAGAAGTGATTTAGTTAAGTAAAAGTATACGAGTCGTATTCTATTTTTTAGTTTTCTCTTTCCTTTAAGAGATCTAAAAGATGCTGACATGGTAGAACAAGAGGCCTCACAATTTGCTGCATTTTTTAGAAAGGTCAATTTGCTGCATTGTGTAAAGAACAATCTATATCTTCAGAGTACCTTAGCCATGATATAAGAGTCTGACTTGTTCTCTGTACCTTTGATGTATGAAAGAAAGAGCATCTTTGGTTTTGTTTTCCGTCTAGAATCCCTCAAGTCTCTGAGGTTCATCTGATACATGAGATGGTCATATACATACATCCATATATGTGGTACCGGCTCTCTTTTGATTCCCTCTGCGATAACAAAAGGGAAGGGCGTGTTTGTTTCATATGTTGTAAGAGATGTTGGGCTTGAAATGCATTAGTTCTTGCAGTCGCAGATGCCAGTTTAATTCCTTAGACTTCTAGTTGTCTTACTCCCCTTGGTATGTAGCTCCCACATTAGGGTTCATATATTGGGTCACTGCTCACTTCTTTATTTTCAGGTAAAGTGTCATAGCCTTATTGTGGCTACAGGAGCCAATGCAAGAAGGTTGGGATTACCCCATGAAGATGAATTTTGGAGCAGAGGAATTAGTGCCTGTGCAATTTGTGATGGAGCATCACCACTTTTCAAGGGTCAGGTCCTTGCTGTTGTTGGAGGTGGTGATACAGCTACAGAGGAAGCAATATACTTAACAAAGTATGCACGCCATGTTCATTTACTTGTCCGTAAGGACCAACTAAGAGCATCAAGAGCAATGCAAGACAGGTAATTGATGTTTATGTACATTTCATATTTATTTTTCCCTTCCAATGTTATAGCATAAGGCATTAGTATTTATCTTAAAATCGAGGTTGTAATCTGATGGGCCATTTTGGTTTCTTTGGGAGAGGATTGTTAGGGTCATATAATACTCTCCTCCACCATAATTTTTTCCCTAGTTTAAAAGGCTTGAAATGATGTAGAAGAACTTAAATATTTGTAAAATTGTCGGTGTCATTTTAAGACATTGCAGACTGAGAGATGAATGATAGGAGTGTTTCCAAGCGTCATATCATGGCTGCTTACAAGTAGGATACATTAATGTAATCTGTAAAAACATCTAGGGAAGTTCACTTGCTCTTAAGATATCTACACAGACGGATGCTTCACCTATATTTTGTCAAATCACTATCTACTTTGAATGTGCTGGTTCTTTACTTCAAAACAACATGTGCATATGTGCCACCTTTTTCGCTTCTTCTAGGACCTGCCATATGAGGCACTTACGGTAGAAGATCCCAATGATGGTTGTGAGCTTGGCCTTGTCAGAGGCCACAATCTGAGATACATCCATGCCTGTCTTGTTCGTGTTCTTTAATACTTTATTTCATTATCTTATCGAGTACAATAGACAGTTCTTGGAATATCGACTTCACAATGTTCTGGAAAGGGAGTCACCAAAGATTATCTCTTCAATTACACTTTTCTAGTACGTAGTATGGGCTTAGCTAGAGGCATTGCAATAAATACTAATTTAGAAGGGTTCATTATTGTGTTGTACACACTAGTGAATGTGCTCTCCACATTACAGTATCATCATGAATTGAGTTCAGTATGCACCTGCAAGTCACATTACGTGATTGACTAAAGTATGTGTATCCTCCAGATGAGTGCGTTGATAAATAATCCAGTGTTTCTTGGTTGGTTTGTTGCTGGTTATTTTCACTTTTGACTCTTCCCTAGTTTCAATCTATTGCCGCTACTCTTCTTGTGCTATACCTATTTCTGGAACCTCATTCTTTGAAGCGGATTGAATTACTAATGATCTATATATTTCGAGTTTCAACTCCCTGAAATGTTTGTTTAACAGGTTGATTATGGGGAATGTTTCAGAGTTTTCAACAATCCAAACATCACTGTGCATTTCAACACTGAGACTGTGGATGTCGTCAGCAACCCAAAAGGCCAGATGTCAGGAATTTTGATCAGAAAAGCTGATACTCAGGAAGAATCTGTGCTGGAGGCAAAAGGCTTGTTTTATGGCATAGGTCATTCACCAAATAGTCAACTGTTGGAAGGCCAAGTTCAACTTGATAGCTCAGGCTACATATTGGTCAAGGAGGGCACAGCAAACACATCTGTGGAAGGTGTATTTGCAGCTGGAGATGTGCAGGTACTTACAGCAATTTATTATTTCATTTCTGCTGTGCCTTTTCCTTTACTTTTAACTGTTGTACTTCAAGTGGTAATTTCACACCTACGGAAGTTAAGGTTAATTATGCATGGCCCCTTTAGATGTATCATGTGTGTGGATGGACAACATGACTCTAGCCTGGTCATTGAAATGTTTGAACTAAGTTCTCAAGAGAAGTTTCAAATAAGTTCCTCTTTAGCAGGGCAGGTGTGGAATGAGAAAATGGTTGTCTTCTCTATTATAAACTTAATTTTTAAGATATTGCAA